CTACACGCAGCACTTGGCTCTGCACTGTTTCTTTGGGACACGGCCATATAGTGATATTCACACAAGGAGCCTTTTAAAAATAATGAGCATCTGCAGCAAAGGGCAGTGGGCTGCTGAGATCATTAAGTATGATCATTAACTTCATCTTCTATTAAAATCTTGTTAGTCAGTTTTAGATGCACTGCAGCTAAGACTCTATTAATGAAAGCTGTCATAACTTATCTGGGTTTTGCAATGTTGAGATTAAAACTACTTCATCTTGGAGAGCTGCATCAGATATTATGTCCTTAGGGAAAGCCAAATTTTAGGTAATGGGAGTAATTTTAACATCTTCAACAATATTTCTACTGCACTTTAACACACACACACATACGCACCTGTTAATAGCAGCAGTTTAATATTCCCTTTAATAAATCTGACTCATTTATAAAACTTGGAGATGTAACTTAAACTTAGATTATATTACATTAAACTGTATAGCTTGACATTGCTCTCTTTTCATCTCTTTAACTTTAAATAGAAGTTGCCATGAGCAGGATCATGCCTCAGAGGAAAGGGCCATAGTTCAAGCCTGAGAATTATCCCACTTCCAAATTATATGGCTCGGTGGGAAAGCTGCAAAGGGTGCCAAATAGAAGCTTCTCTCCTATACTGAATAACAGCTTTGAGAATGGTGGCATTTTTATCAGGAACATAGGACTAGGGAAGGGTTAAAAACTCTGTGACTGCGATTTAAAGTGGGGGGGGGCGTCCGCTCTTTCCTTGTTTTTTTAAAGTTGTACATGGTAGCAAACTATGCTTTTTAATTAATTTATAGATTGGCCCTTATTCCACATTAACTTGGTATGTTTGGTTCTATATGATTTTGTTTCTCTGCTGTATACTTCTGTGTTAATAAGAGATTATGTATTAATACTTGTTGGTTTTCTTTACACAGAGTGTTTGTGGGCCCATTTCCTGCTGCTCTCCCATATGCCTGGATTGCTTATGAGTTTCTTGTGTAGTCGCTGACTACCTCTAGACCAGCCTTCCCTGCCCGGAAGCCTTCCAGACATTTTTTATTTCAATTCACTAGGCAGCTTGGCCAATGACCAGGAATGTTGGGAATTCAGTCCAATTCCCTGGTGCATCTGCTGGGCACCAGGCTGGAGGATGCTTTGGATACTTCCCATTTTACCCGGGCGAGAAGTTAGCTTTGTGCTTGTTCCCATAATCCCTTCCTGCTGCTATCCTCTTCCTTCCTTCTTGCATACTTGCTCCCGCCTGCCTGATGCTTTCCATGCTTTTTTAGACCACTGATATTCTCAGTTAGTCTTGGAAGGAAGCCTGGTTCTACCACCACTTTCACTCCTCATATGATGTTATACTTAGAGTTTATCCTACTATTTTTAGCTCATTTTAAAAAGGGCTCAATGCATATTTGATACAATCAGAATGCTTTAAAAATCTTTATAAATTGATGTCTCTCTGTCAGCCAATCGTGCAGAATGCAAGACTAAACCTGGATTCATAGAAAACCACTTCCTATGAATTACGTCTTATTAATTAGGTTATACTGTTGTTGTGTAAAAACAAATTCCTCATGGCTAGGATTTTCATCTCATCAATAACAATGATACATTCTGATCATGAAGCAATCTGGAGTACATAGTTACTTGCACTGTGATGTCCCACTGGGGATTCAGGCCCTGGCACAGAAGCAATCACATGATCCAAGTGACTTTGGTTTTAGCACTTGCATATTAATAATTCATGCCGAGCCTGTTCATGGGATAATGTGTGGGTGGAAGGGGGGGGGGTTGGTATCATGTCATAGCGAAAGCATCTATATCAGAGTTTTGCTAACTTCTGCAGTCCTTTGTTCAAGACCAGTTCATTGTTCATTGAGCATCCCTGATTGGCTGGGAGCAAATTGTTTCTTATTGCCAGTATAAACATGGATATATTTATATCTACTGCCTGCTCCCTGAGATAGCTTCCTAGTAGATATTTCATAACTAAACATTTCGTATTTCCTTTTCATATGGTCTGTCCTATCCTTTCAGTGGGAACAGATTCATGCAACACTAAGGTATGTATGTCATGTCATTTTCTAAAACGGACACACAATACTTTAAAGTCCTTTCCTTTTGGGGAAGGTTAGACAAGTGTAACGTAACCTAGCAATAGCTGAGTTTATTGTTTGTGACTATATATACGTATGTATGTATGCACATAATCATAACATTTTAACACATACTTTCTATGATTTCTCTCTACTATTAACTGTAAAGTACTAAAACACAATTCTTTTACTTTGGCTTGCAGCTCGAGTTCCATTCTGGAGCCATGCTGCTTAGGATGGGTTCTGGTTGCTTCTTAGCTTCTATTTATACAATTTCACAATTTCTTTGGCAGAGGCCAAGAGTACATACCAGGGTGTTGCCTTTTATGAATCTCAGGAGATGTGAGAGGCAAACAGACTGGATGAACTTTGGTTACATATTCCAGACAAGCACAATGACTCTATTTATTCAGATTAAGCAGCTGAATGTTGATTGATCGACTCTGTGGGTAATAAATTTTCAAAGCCACAAAACTTCAGTGGCAACTAGCTTGATCCCACTTTTTTTTGGGGGGGGGGTCTGTCTATAAGGCCGTTGTTGTAAAAACAAACCAAAAAAAAGATTATTTTTCCACGTATGTAAACTAGTTCTGATTGACATGAATTCCACAACTAGCTTTGGAGGTTTATATCTTCCTGTAAATTCCTACCTTCTACTGTTCCAAAATTACAAGAAATGTAGAAGGAAGGGGAGGGGGAAGAAATGAGTACGGGAAAGAGAGAGGACAGGAAGGAGAGATATTTGCATAATACTCAGCAATCACTGCTTAATAATGCACCTAACACTGATGGAAATTGCCAAATGACCTCTATACTGAAGAACACGGACCTGAAATGTGGATCATCCACATGCCATTCTACACTTCAGGAAACCAAGAGGCAATAATCACCAAATTTCAGTACTCTGAACAATCTGAAGTACAATTTTGACATAACTGTGACACAAAGCTTTAGACATTTTCCGAAGAATATGATGGTAAAATTATTACTTTATGCATTATAAATCAAAGGGAACTGCATCATTTTAACTTGCAGATTTATGTTAACTACTGAGAGGTCTGTTAATTGTGCGCTCTTCAGCTATTGATTGGGGATTAAAAAGGTATGTTTTTTCAGTGTTGGTGAAATTAAATATAGAAACAGGAAAATTTCTTTCTACACATTAGATCTTTGATCACTGCCTGTAAAATTAAAAGTATAATTTAACTGGATAAATGATGCTAATTAAAGGAGGGGAATACATTTATGTAATTAAAATTAAGGGACTATCTAATGTGTGTGGATAATGTAATTACAGCAGGCTTCTTGATATGTAACCACTTCAACTTCATTTTCTTCTTCCTCTGAGTCTTCTTCTATAGCTATTAAACCTGTTTATTAAAAAAAAACTTCTAGAGACCTTTTCAACACTACCATATATTCTCTGCCATTTCATTCATGATCTTCCTCCTCCTCTGTTAATTGTTTTGCAAACCTCCTGTGCTTGGCCAGCAGCTGTTCAAATGTGGTATTCTGCACTTCCTAACTTCCAGAGAAAAAAGCAAGGTTGAGGTCAAAGTCTATCTGGGAAAAACATGGAAAGCCTTTCTCAGCCTGATGCCCTCAAGAAGAATTGGACTACAACTGTGGTCACCCAGTCATCATGACTAATAACCATGGTGGTTTCTGCTGCTGAATGGGAATAGGCCAACACATCTGGAGGGCACCAGGTTGGGCAAAACTAGTATGGAGACTCCCTCTATTTACTGGATGGCCAGATTTCTATTACCATAGATCCAGTTATACAGAAACGTATCCCAAAAACTTGTGAAATAGCTTGGACATTAAATTCCACACTATGAACAATTGGCCTTTTCACAGCAGGGCCCCCTCAACGTGACTGTAAAAAGATAATCCAAAGCTAAAATCTTTATACTGCTGTATTTTCTATCAAAAGATTGACATGAATAAGTACCAAATTCCAAATATGCAATACCAAATTACCATAAACAAGAGTTTATAGAGTAACCAAGAAAATTCAGACATGATATATCTACTCGTAAGCATAAATGTTGCCCTTCATGAGGTCTCATTAGCTAAGGTAGGCCTAGTTAACGGCCCTCTTCTGACTACCATTTCTCACTTGAACCTTTAGCACATAACCACAGAGAATGCCACAGGATGCATGTGTGTTCCTCCCTCTTACCTCACCCTAAGTCATATTCCTAATATTCTGTCTTGGATTCCTTGTGTGTTCACCTGTTCTTACTGTCTCAGGTGTTAAATTATGGCTGGGCCAGATGTGAAGGTTCACTTCCCTGGAAGTCAAGTCCCAGGTCAAGTTCCCAGGCCGTCAGCTTTATACTATGATACTACAATAAAGGAGTCTAAATCAGCCCTCTTTAATTTCAAATCCCACCTGCAACCCTCAATGTTAAGAACCTTGGTAGTTCATGGGCCAATCTCTACAATGATGAAGAAAATGCCATCTGAACATTTTCAAGGGCTTTTAAACCCATTCTTTCTTTGTATGTTCCAAGGTTAAGCCTTCACAGTGGAAACATGTTAGGGTTGAGCTCTGGCCCAAATTGAACTTTGGCCAGTCTTGCCTTTGGAGAACATATCTCTGGAAATATATCTCTGAACCTCCGACTTGGTATAACTGTTTTCAGTGGAATTGTATTGATGCTAAGTATGTGTTCAGCAGTAGTTATCTAAGGATAATATATGATATATCTTGGGAGTGAGACTAAATCTGAACTTGTGAACTCTACACAGTGAACCACATACATTACAGTGGCACCGGATGTGTATGCAGGTCTTTTAATGCACTTTCAAAGATCCTGGCAAATACTTTTAAAGTATTTCAGCATCATTAGATCATATACTTGCTATATACGAACTTTAAACTTCTTACCTGGTCATTCTCCTCTTCATCACTGCTCAACTTGAGATCATCTTCTAACATTCTGGAAAAATAATGAAAGACCTAATTTAGTATAATGCAGACCACAAGTGGGGAAGTGTCAGACTGGTGGAATCTACTTTTCTTTATTCTAAGGAATCCATCAACTGGAGCCTACTGCAAAAGACATACACTGGATTGGAAAAATTCTGAACCCAGAATTTGAGTAACAGAACTTGAAATTAAAGACTTTCCACACAAAAATCCACTCCATCTCACCCCACACATTATTCATAGCAGTGTGTGAGGGGAGTGTGTGTGAGTGTCATTGTGTGGTGGCTACTGAGACCCTGAAATACTTGGCTATCTACTAAAAATAACTAGATATCAGGCAGTAGGTTCAGATCTGTCTTCAGCTGATGCCTGATCTAGACCATGAATGTCTCTTAATCGCAAAGCAGAAGAGTTCTGCTCGATCAGATCAAGCATTCAGTTTCTCATACTGGACAACTGAAAGTCTCAAGGGATCCCACAAAATGCAGAGAATGGAGGCAACAGCTTTTTCTCTTGGTTCCATTTCAGCCATAGGAATTCAGCAGCATACTATCTTTCAACCTGAAGGTTTCATATAGCCATAATAAGTAGTAGCCACTGGCAGACATATCCCCTAAAGTCCAATAGCGCTGTAAAAGGATCAGTGTTATGGCATTTTCTAGTTCCTACAGGTGAGCTATAATTCTTAGGAAGCAAGCAATTAACTGATAATTTATTCATTTCTGAAAATGTATTTATTTATTTACATATATTTATAGGTGATCTATAATTGCTGAGGCATTCCTAGGCACCTTACAATAAATGCGAAAGTATTCTATACTATCAATGGAACTTGCGTTATGGGACATCATCTGTGGCAGAATTCTGACTCTATCCAAGCTGTAGAATGAACTGCAACCATTTTCTCTATGGAAATATCCTAGTGAAAAATCCTATAATTCAACTACTTGCAAACATGTTCCAATACTCTTAGGAGTCTTGTATCATATACTGTATACTTCTATCTTTATTTTGTTGCAGAGATTAAATTAATACCAATTTAGGCAGCAAGCCTAACACATATACGTAAGGAATAAACTACAGTGGAACTTACTTTTGAGAAAACATGACAGAACAGCACTAAACTATATAATTAAAAGGTATTAAATAAATAATATTGAAAAATATGTAAACTGGATTTCTTGAGTACTTATCTGTATATGCAAATATAGGAAAACATTGAATCGAGCAAATTGTATTGCCCTTTTGTTCAAAATATGGTATGTGTGATACTGTATGCATATACACCAGCATACTGTCCCTCAACCTAGAGGTCCCATATAGCCACTGAGGACTAGAAGCTATTGAGAAGCTACTGCTAGGATATTATGATTGTTTTACAGCTTACTGTGCTGCTGTTTATTATATTGTATTTTATTCTTCTAAATATTTGTATTTTATGTTCTTAATCTCTGGAAGAAATTTTTGTTTTGATATGCATCCAGTCATCTCTGCCTTATGGTGACCCTATGAATGAAAGCTCTCCAAATAGTTATATCCATGACAGCCCTGCTTAGCTCTTCCAAATTCAAGGCTGTAGATTCCCTTATGGAATCAAACCATCTCATATTTGGTCTTTCTTTTCTTCTACTGCCTGCAACTTTCCCTAGCATGATCGTCTTCTCCAGTGAGTCATGCCTTCTCATGAGGTGTTCTAAGTATGACAGCCTCAGTCTTGTCACTTTTGCTTCTAAGGAAAGCTCTGGCTTAATTTGATCTAGGACAAACTTGTTCATCTTTTTGTAAGTGCATGGTATTTGCAAAGCTCTGCTCCAGCACCATGTTACAAACACATCGATTTTCTTCCTGTCAACTTTCTTCACTGACCAGCTTTCACATACATATATAGTGGGGGAATTACAAGCAGATAAATACCTAAAATGGGCCACTCAGAGAACATTAGTTATTGAGCAGACTACAGATCTACTAAATAAATAAAATTGGAGTACAACTTCCATCAGCCCCAGACAGCATTCCTAGAATCATCAAAGTTGCAGTCTAGAAAGTTCCCTACTCCTACAATACAATAGCAAACAAAGGTGCAATCTATTCAAAGCTTCCAATGTTAATCTTTTGTAAATTCGAAAAGAGGATTAATTCATTGCTGCGATTGTATACACTCCTTTGTGCATCACTTCATACCCATGTATGACTGGAGAGCTGTGCACAAATGGGCTCTTAAAAATTCTTCACTTTGTCAGTGAAGGAATAGGTAGGGAGATCATTTTACTACATTTCTTCAGGTGGAAAGAGGTTCTCTAACTGTTCGTCAGTGCTGGGTTCATCATTAATAATGTCTAAGCAATGAGGCAGCCTCTTTCCTTAGTCTCAAGGTTTCTACTGGTGTTGCTGCAGGCAGCTGTCTTGGCAGCCTATCCAAACTTAGCTCATTCTCTGTCAGAACTGCTGACCTAGTATTCTTCTCGGACATGGTCAAGGGAGAATGTGTTCCCCCAGCAAAGAATGATAGAGAATAGTCAGAAAGTTCTGTAAAATTGCCTCAATTTTCTGAGGTAAGTAACCTCACAAATTTTCTCATAAAATGCTGAGAATTGTCAGCTTTGGTTTAATTGTGGAAATTTGATTGTCTTTTCCCACATTTTCAATGCAAGACATGTACATAATATGTGGCCAGCTGGGAGAGAACTAATCCTTGTGACCTCTTCTGATGCTTCTGAAGAATCTTCCATTTTTAGTTAATTTACTTCTGAACATGGGAGGTGTTAGGGCAGGAGTACCAGGGACCTGGGCCTGGATCCAGGATCTCTCAGCTGTGCCTCTGTATCTTTGTAGCTGCCAAGTATCTTAACAGCAGCCTGCTTCTTTCCTCTGGACTGAGTAGCTGCACAGTTCCTAAGAGACCTTAGGACTCAGTCATGTAGCATGATGGCGCCAGCCTTTTAAACTGTCACCTTTTCTTCCACAGTCTGTTCATTAAGTCTGGAGTCCAAAACTGCCTAACAGCACCACTGTCACTTGGGTTTCTCAGACTGTGCCCAGCTCTAGAGAGAGCTGTCCACCAGTTTGTTACTATGGTATTGCGCCTGTGCCCTGGGCCACTGTAGGCAGCAAAGCCCTGACAAGAGAAAGCACAGCTGCATTGGCTCCTCAAGTGCCGAATGGAGTGACAGACCCCTTTCTCATCTACTGATTTCTCCAGGCTAGTCCAGGCTCCTTCCTTTGGGTAGAAACAGGAGTGAGACTCTTCCAGTACCTACACAGTTATCTTTTCAATACCAAATTAAGACCTTTTTGTTTTCCCACGACCTTCAATAACTTTTTAACTGACTTTATGGCTTTTGGCTATTGTTATTCTTGCTGCTTTTAATCTTTTGTTACATTCATATTACATCATGTTATTATTATGATAATATTACATCATGTTATTATTATGATGCTGTATATAAGATGTGCTGTGGTAAATTTTATTTCAAGGGTGGGATAAAGTGACACAGGGACAAGCACCAATGCATGCTGAATAACAGCTGAAAAAAGAGCTGAAAACAAATGCACCCATGAGCATAGTAATCACCTACACATTGTACGTAGATCTTAATAGTATTACTACTAATATCACTAATAATAATCCCATTAGATGGAACTCCACTGTTGGTATTTTATGAGGTTTATATGCATTACAATTGTCATTTATATCGGCTAGCATCACTAAATATTGACTAGAACATTTTTTAGAATCTGTTGTTTAGTGTGAAGGAAACCATCTGCTGGAAAGATCAAGAAAATGTCCCTCCAATACATTACGATTAATCTCTAGGAACCATTAAAACAGAATTGCATTCTTTTATCATATAATAAAAGGTATCTGTGTTGTACAACATACTTTCATGAATAATGGGTGAACACATGCTTCGGTCTTTGTTAATGAAGTTAAATTTATTGCTGTTATCCTTTCCTGCTGACATAACAGGTGGTCAGACTTGTCTGATGCATAGCTATATCCAAAGTATGCCTTTCATTTAGGGTAACCAGTTCACACAGTTATTAGGGAAACTGCTGCTTTCAACTAGCTGTGAGAACAATGAAAAAGTTTCAGTGCTAGAAATCACATGCACACTTTTCTCTCTCTAAAAGGACTTTATTACCTATTCTGAAATCATATTGCTTATTTTGTAGAAACAAGCAAACCCAAAAAAGCCAAATGGTATTTGTAAACTAACAAAGGCAACTGGAAGAGTAGTCAGCACACTGCGTCCACTGAATATGCTTAGTCCTAAAGGGACTTTTTTGTCCCATATACGCCAACCTTAAGTTTTATTTATTGTATTTATTTAAAACGTACAGGTCTCTTTTAAGGTTAGAAATAATCCCAGGATGGCTTCCACTAGTAAACATAAAAATACAAATAATAATATACTTCAAAGAAATCAACCATTAATAAAACCCAGCAAAAATACAAACATCTATCCCATTACATTTAAAATCCAGTAAATAATTACAAGTTAAAGCCAGTTCAAATAACCATCACATATAAAAACGGCAGAGTAAGGTCTCTTTGAAGACCTGCACTGACCAGATAGCAATGCATTCCACATATGTGGAACCAGTGCCTCTCCCTTGTGGCCACCAACAGGTTAGCTCATAGGTGGGGCTTTGCCCGTTGATCTTAACAGGTGTATAGTCTCATACAGGTGAAGGAAGTTCTTCAAGGAACCTGGTTATGAACTCGATGAGCCACCTAAGCTTCCCAGTTAGTGTACAGTCTGGGAGAACACCCAATCTGCACATTCCCCTTTCAGTGGGAATGCAACTCTGTTAGAGATATACTGCAAATCTCAATCCAATACAGGCAATTTCCTATCATCGGCATGTCCATCTTGTCTGAATTAAGCCTTAATTTCTTCACCTTCACCTACTATTTACTAATTTAAGGATTCTACAACCTCTTTTTTTCAGCAGATAGCAATCATAGCTACTGCTGAGTATTAACCATGTATTGATGGCACTTCAGCC